GACCTTTCTTTGCAAAGTTATGGAATTTACAAGAAAAGCCCTAAATTTATTTGTTATTTCTGTAGCTTTGAGGTGATAATTAACATTTAGGGCTTTTCTTGTAAATTCCATAACTATGCAAAGAAAGGTCGTGTAGAGTTGGGTAATATCTCATTTTAATCAAAAATTCGTGGGCTATAATTGTGCCTTATTAAGAAAGGCTTTGGTTATTTTTCAGAGTTTCTGAAAAACTGGTTTTCCAGATAAACAGTCTCTGATGATCTATAGGCAATTGCCATGGTCATATTCAGCATCAGCATAGTCGATAACCTATAATTCACTAGATCTCATTGAAAACAGAATTTGACACTTAAGTCGGTTCTCTCGTAAGTATGAGTCTTTGTTTTACAAACCCTTCTGTTGTGAATCTAAACCAATGTAGTTTTTTCTTTTTTGTTTATTTTTAGTATGCTGGAGGCGGCAAACTCTCGTGATGAATTATATAAAATCTCTCGTAATGGCCAAGATGTGATGAATTTAATATCGGAGTCAAAAAAGCCAATTGTAGCTGCTATTTCTGGATCTTGTTTGGGTGGCGGATTCGAAGTATGAAAGATATAATATTTATTTATTTTGTTAATTCTACTCAGTTGTTCTAGGTAGCACTTGCATGTCATTATCGTATTGCTGTCAATGATAAACGCACAGGATTTGGTGTACCTGAAGTTAAACTTGGATTATTGCCAGGTGCTGGTGGTACTCAACGTCTTATTCAAAAACTATCGTTACAAGATGCACTGGGTTTACTATTGACCGGAAAAGAAGTAAAAGCAAAAAAAGCAAAAAGTATGGGTTTAGTTGATGCTCTTGTGGAACCGCTTGGTCCGGGAGTTGGTGAACCAGAACAAAAAAATATGGATTATTTACAATCAATCGCTATCCAAAAAGCAAAGTATGTTGTTGTTTTGTATGTCTAGAAAAATACTTATCTTTGTTTCCTTTAGACAATTGACAGTGAAAAAGGATGAAAAGAAATCGCTAGGATTTATAGCAAGTAAGAGTATATTTTTTAATGAAATTATCCTAGAATCTCAATCGAAATAGTAAAATGATGTGAATTATTCTTTGTCTTTAAGCATTCTAAAAGTTTTGATTTTGTTAGAAGTGGAACATAAAGCGTATATTGCTATAGATTCAATTCTTAATAGTTCTTCTATCTGACGTTAGAATCCATATTCTTTAATTTATCATTATATCATGTTTAGGTTTAAAGAATAGGGTGATGACAAGTTCATATGCTCAAGATTTTATATTAAAAAAAGCAAAATCTGGTGTTATGTCACAAACATCGGGATTATATCCAGCTCCACTAAAAATATTAGATGTACGTTCACATTTATCTATTATTTTATTGTTAAGATTGAATAAACTACTTATTGGCTTATTTCTTAGGTAGTTAAACAAAGTTTAGAAAGTGGTTCAAAAGTTGGTTATAATGCTGAAGCTGATGTAAGATTTGTTTTCAATTTGATATTTTTAACCACGTTATTTTACACATTATTTATTTATGACTTTTCTCTCTTATACTACAAGGTTTATACTCTCATTTTGGTGCTTATTTCAGTAATATTTCTGGATTTAGCGCTCTAATTACTAGTTATAGTATGTTTCTTCATTTAGAATTAAAATATTTATTGGTATTTACTTTTTTTTAGGGTTTTGCTGAATTAGGCATGACACAAGAATCAAAGGCTTTAATTAGTTTATTTCATGGACGTACAGAATGTAAGAAGAATAAATATGGGAAACCAGAACGAGAAGTCAAGTACGTAAATAAAACTTGGTTAAAAAATATCAAATTGAAAACAAATCTTACATCAGCT